AGTCCTCACTCTCTGGGGCAGGTCTCTTGGCTTCACTGCATCCGGGGATCAACCCTGGGAGCCTTCAGCACCCACCCCTGCTTCACACTCTGAGAGTCTCTCTATGACTCCACCCAAACTGGACACCTGCCCTAGCCTTGCACCCCCAAAGGGAGCACTGCACTCCCAGCTCCCTTCATCTGGAATGCCTCTCAGCCAGTCATAGCAGAGAGATTTCTTAGATGGCTGAAATACGACATAGTTAGCCCTTAGTTAACACATGATGGAAAGTTAGTCAGGTCCACCTGGGTCAGTCCAGAGAGCTCTTTCTTCCCTACAGTCCCAGTCAGAAGCTGCTTTCCTGCCTCCAGTAGCCCACACCTAACAGGCCCCATGTCAGGGGGTCCACGACCCCTCTGCAGCCAGATGTGACTCTCAGATGGCCAGTAGAGTGGAAGGTTATATTGCCTCTCAGATACACATCGCAGCACAGGAGCAATGTTAACATAGGCACCGAGAGCGGACAGCCTTATTCCTCTTGGGGAAACAAAGGCATGCATAGGAATAAAAAAAAATAAGACAGCAAAAGCCCACTTCACTGGCAAACTCCTCCATTATTGGTCTTACTGGAGATACTCAAGGTGTAAGTTATTGGGAGGAGGAACAGATGAGCTGGGGTATTGTTATGCTAACAGGGATTCCTTAGTGCCCACAACCTGCAGTATGATATAGACAAATCCACAGGTGCTGGAAGACCCCCCCCCCCCCCGGCCAAGGAAAAAAAAAACAGCAGCAATTACATGAACCCTGCATTTCCACCCTCTTTTCCCCAAAGTTACTAGGGTTCTGGCCACTGCCACTTTGAACATTCCTCCAAGTTTTGAAACTGATCAGCTATGACATTCAGGAGTCCCGTGTTTGACAAAGAAACCCAGCTAAGCAGAGCACAAGGCCCATAGCTTTCTACAGACAGGGCCCAAAGAGGACTAAGCCTGGGGCTTCCAGCCAGCAGAGGCTGCTTAGCTCTTTAGTAAATACCACCTGCTAACATTCTTCCCAGCACTGGGTCCCACAGTGTGAGAGTGTGCTGAGTTTGACATGTAGCACCAGGTCACAAGGCCCTCCCCTCAAAGTGAAAGCCCAGTCCCACAAATACCTGCAACTGAGGCTGCTGGGAGGGCCAGTCCTGGTCGGAGTGAAGCCCGGCGACCTGTGGTGGACATGAAGGGTCATTATTAACAGTGGAACATCTGACCTCCTGTGCCAGCTCCCTGTTCTCATGCGTGCAAAGGGCCCTGCATCCTGTTGGCACACCTACCCTCCATTCCCTAACACAGACACCCTTCCCCTTGAGCTCACCTTCTCTTTGAGCCCTGGGCACTGCAGCTGCTGCCGAAACCCTGGAACAAGTGGTAGCAATGGAGGCTGCCACCCTCCTGGTGGGCATAGGGAGCCGTCGGGTACGTTTCTAGCGGGAGAGAGGAGAGTTACTTGGAGCAGAGCTCTGGAGAAATGGGCCAGGAAACAACCCCTTTCACATCTGCGTGCCACCACTCACTCACCTGTTCAATTGGAGGCTGGTTCTCATCACTGGCTCCTCTCTTGGCTCTCAAGCCAAGTACAGGCAGCTGGGAAAGGACCTTCCCTGAAGGCATGGCCTGCTGTCCATCAGCATTCCCCTTCTCCATGAGTGGGGCTTCTGGAAAGGAGAGAAGGGACTTGATCAGTCACATGTTATGCAGACATCTGGATACAGTGGTGAGCAACCTATGGCCCATCCGGGTTCGGTGTGTGACCTTCGAGACATTGGTACCCTTGTTCATGTACAGGATTGCAGATTCCACTAGTTTCCATTTTGCCCAACATTACTAAAATGACATGCAAGTAAAGCCAGGGAACATGAAATGAGGTTCATGCCTCACTACTGACTGAGAGAGCCATGCACGCAATATGCATCCAACCAAAGCATTGCTCAATCCAACCAAAGCAGGTTCAATCAGCACACCTGCAAATTCTAAGTATATAAACTCAGTAAGCACAACTACCCTAGCCGGGTACCCCCGCACAACTACCCCGCAGCCCTGCCACCACCCTGCCGGGATAACCCCAC